CTCTCTCTCTCTCTCTCTCTCTCTCTCTCTCTCTCTCTCTCTCTCTCTCTTTTCGAGACAGCTCTCTCTTTTCGAGACAGGGTTTTTCTGTGTAGCCCTGGCTGTCCTGGAACTCACTCTGTAGACCATCCTCGAACTCAGAAATCCGCCTGCTTCTGCCTGTTTGTCTTGTTTTGTTTTTGAGACAGGTCTCACTATACCAGGCTAGCCTCTTCCTCTCATGCTGGGATCAAAGGCAGCGTCTCTTACTGGCCTGGAACTTGACTATCTGCTTCCCAAGTGCTGGGATTAAAGGCGTGTGCCAACACCGCCTGGCTAAGTTTCTTCTACCTTAGGAAACTGCTGAGGGCTTTTTATGGTCTCAGTTATGGTAAAATGTTTGTCTTGTTTTGTTTTTGAGACAGGTCTCACTATACCAGGCTAGCCTTTTCCTCTCATGCTGGGATCAAAGGTAGTGTCTCTTACTGGCCTGGAACTTGACTAGTCTAGGCTGGCTGGCCCAGTGAGCCCTAGGATTCTACCAGTTCTGCCTGCCTAGTCCTGTGCCACCTTGACTGACTTTTTTCTGTACATTGTGGGGGCTAAACTCAGGTCCTGATACCTACAAGGCAGCACTTTACAAAGACTGAGATATCCTGCACTCCCCCTCCCAACCTCCCTCTTCCTATTTGGGAGAGTGGCCCCTGCCAGGCGGTGGTGGCACACGCCTTTAATCCCAGCACTTGGGAGGCAGAGGGAGGCGGATTTCTGAGTTCGAGTTCTGATTTCTGAGTTCGAGAGTTCGAGGCTAGCCTGGTCTACAGAGTGAGTTCCAAGACAGCCAGGGCTACACAGAGAAACCCTGTCTCAAAAAAAAAAAAAAAAAAGGCAGCGGGCCCCGCCCCCGCCCCCCTCCCTTTTTTTTTTTTTTTGGTTTTTTGAGACAAGGTTTCTCTGTGTAGCTCTGGCTGTCCTGGAACTCACTCTGTAGACCAGGCTGGCCTTGAACTCAGAAATCCGCCTGCTTCTGCCTCCCAAGTGTTGGGATTAAAGGCGTGCACCACCACCACCCGGCTTCAAAATTCTTAGACTTAAGTTTCTATCCCTTTGAACAGAAGGTAAAAGCACCTGCTTCCCAGGAGGTGGCGCTAGAAACACTTGAGCAAGCACATCTGCTGTGCATGTGTCAGTCCTCTGCATCTTGATTAGTTCTGCAAAAATTAGCAGCTAATTTCGATCTCAAAGGCCAAATTCTAGCCGATGGGGATCCACTGGGTACATTTTCTTAAAAGCATTTAAAAATGTAGACTTTAACAAGTATAATCAAGCTGGGCAGTGGTGGCGTACGCCTTTAACCCCAGTACTTGGAAGGCAGAGGCAGGCGGATTTCTGAGTTCGAGGCCAGCCTGGTCTACAGAGTGAGTTCCAGGACAGCCAGGGCTACACAGAGAAACCCTGTCTCAAAAAACAAAACAAAACAAAAACAAACAAACAAAAAACCACAAGTATAATCAAGTCAGCTTGTGGAGAAGCTTTCCAAGATACATATGTGGCCATCTTAGGTTTCTATATTTCATTCTTTTTGCAAAATATTTATCAAGGTTGTTTACTATACAATTGTCCAACTGTCATTTTTGTTTCAGAAGTCCTCTATTGTAAAAACACACACATATAATATAAACATATGTACATATGTTTCATGTTTTTGTTTTTGGCACATAGTCTACTATGTAATTATTATATTATCTATCTATAGTTATAGATATATCTATATTTATCTCTATCTGTACCTATCTATCTCTTTCTCTATATCTATCTAGATTATCTATATAATAGTCTATTATATAATTATCTAATAGTTTATTATATATTATCTATTATGTAGTGTTATGCTCTGACTTTCCTGTAATTCACTATAAAGAACAGGCTGGTCTTGAACTCACAGAGATCCTATTTTCCGGTGCTGGGTTGAAAGGTGTTCACCGCCATGCCTGACTGTAAAGACAATTTTTCTGTCTGATGGCAGACAGCAGACATGATAATCATTCTTTACCTCCATGTATGCTAGATACATTTCATTTCTCCTTGAGATAGAGTTTTCCCTTTCTGGATTTCTGAGGTAATGTTTTTTATTATTTCTGTGGTGTCTGGCAGGCCTCTGATACAGCGGCAAACCTGAAGACAGACTTTCTTTACAATGAACGCTGTGAAATTATAGAGGTGTGGGAGGGCAGCCCGCTGATTTCACAACCTCCAAGTCACGAAACTCAGGACTCTCTTTGTCAGGGAATCTTATGAAAGAACATGTGGCTTTACTACCAAGATGCCTGTTGTGGGACACCTTCCTCCTGCCCATCATCACCCTGGAGTCAGGATGCTTCTGTCTGCCTGCTTTTATCGTGCACCAATTGTGTGGCCAAACGCCTCCCAGACTGATCACAAAAATCTACAAATTTTGAATACTGTGTGTATTTGGCGCTATATGTGCATGGGTACTCGTGCCATGGTGGGAGGAGAAAATTCTCCCCCACCTTCACATCCAATCGGGGGGATTCAAACTCTGGGGTGAGTCCTCACAGTCCCCATGATGGCCTTGACTTTGAACTTCTGCTCCTCACCAGGCCTGGTTTCCACAGCGCCTTTTAAAAGGCAACAGTGATTCTTATGACACTCTCATCTTACCCCTTTTCCTGTTTACATTTAAGCCTTTCTTAAAGCCGTACTTGACTGGATCTTGTGACAGGCCTAATTGCCCCAGGTGTGTCAAAACTGCCTATAAATACTTCTCTCCACAAGGTATACACAGAAGACTGTAAGAAACAAAAGAAGCCACGGAATTTCATTACAGTGGCACAGGGCACACTGCAGGCCTGCTTTGCTCATACTGAGCAAACTGCAAGTCAGTGCTTACTTACCCTTTCCTGTAGTGAAGCTGCTGCCATGTCTGCTTTACATTCGGCGTGGACATTTTTGATAAATGATATTCCTGGCTGTCAGAAGCCTACCCACACATGAATGAATCAATAGATGAGGGTAAGACATACAGCATCAATCAGAGGTTGGAGAGGGTTAATTCTTAAAAATTATGCCTTGACACAAAATTAGAAATTTGGAAGAGCTGTATGTGGTTGCACATCCCTTTAATTCCAGCCCTCGGGAGGCAGAGGCTGTAGGATCTCTGTGATGTGGAGGCCAACCTGGTTAACATAGCAAGTTCCAGGACAGCCATGATTACATAGAGTAGTGGTTCTCAACCCGTGAGTCACGACCCCTTCCACAGGTGTCGCGTATCAGATATTTACATTATGATTCATAACAGTAGCAAAATTATAGTTATGAAGGAGCAACAAAAATGATTTTATGGTTGAGGGTCAGCACAAAGTGAGGAACTGTATTAAAGGGTCACAGTGTTAGGAAGGCTGAAAACCACTGACATGAGACACTTCATCTCAAACAAACAAATTTGGAATAATTCCAAAATGAGATTCTTTCTCCCTTCATTTCTTTCTTTCTTCTTCTTTCTCTTTTTGTTTCTTCCTTCTTTTTTCCTTCCTTCCTCCCTCCTTTTCTTTCTTTGCTAAATGGGAAGAAAAAAGTCATATGGTTCAAGTCTCTCTCTCTCTCTCTCTCTCTCTCTCTCTCTCTCTCTCTCTTTCTGTTTTTCAAGACAGGGTTTCTCTGGAACTCTTGGAACTCACTCTTTAGCTCAGGCTGGCCTCAAACTCAGAGCCCCACCTACCTCTGCCTCCCGAGTGCTGGGACTAAAGCCGTGCACCACCACAGCCCAGCTTAATCTGTTTTTTCTTTTCATTAATATGTTGTCATGTGTATCATAGGCAGGTGTGTGGAAATTATGAAAATTGTCCCCTAGATTTACCATGTCTTTGGGATTTTTTTTAAGTAAGTGGAATACCCTTTTCTGTGACTCCCACCATGCCCTGGTAAAGTCCAACACATTACTTAAGAATATCCCTAAGGGCTAGAGAGATGGCTCAGCAGTTAAGAGCAAACCAGCTGCTCTTCTCGAGAACCCAGGTTCAATTCCCGGTATGCATATGGTACTCACAAAATGTCTGTTAATGTCAATTCCAGGGGCTCTGATGTCCTCTTCTGGCCTCTGCAGGTATCGGGCATGCATAATGAACACAAGCATACATGCAGGAAGAATAAATGCCCATAAATGTGAAAAGAACTCTCTCTAGGTCCCGTATGGTGATACATACTTGTGATCTTAGCGTTACAAGGATGAGGCAGGAGCATCACCCTGAGGTTAAGGTCACCCTGGGGTTCAGAGCAACAACAGGAAACAGCAACAGCAGCAACAGGGAAAACAAAGAGTCGTCTATAATATGGTGGTGCGTGCT